GAAGGAACTTGAAATAACGAAGGAACGGTCCTCAGACAGTAAAATAAATAGCAAGGGACGCATAAGTCACTCCGAATGTAGAGTGTAATAGAATCATAATCCAACAACTGAATTAACTTCAAAAATGAGAGAAATTTACTGCCATTGTACAGAAGGGTAACTGAATCACTCGGGATGTGAAGTGAAATTCATTAATGATATAAGGAAATTGAGCTCGAATATATATTGAGCAAGAAAAAATGACGATGCTTATGAAAATAAGACGAAGTTCACTGGAAAGAAATGTGATAAGGGTAGAATTTCTTCAAATTATTGACATTCCAGACCCTGGGAACCCGGTTGCCTTCAGTGTCCCGTAGGATATAAGCACCTGGGTGCGGCACTTCAGCAACAGTGTAGGGGCCTTCCCAATTTGGTGCCAACTTGCCGAATCGAGTTTCGAACCCCGTCAGACCGGCTTTCCTGAGAACAAGGTCTCCTACTTGAAATATTCGGGGTCGAACTCATTTGTTGTAGAAGTTTGCTGTTTTCTGTTTGTAGACTAGAGTTCGAAGTCGTGCTTCTTCTCTAACGTCATAAAGCAGATCAAGGTTTTCTCGAAGCAGTTGTCCATTTCGTCTTTCATCGAAATGGGTGACCCTGAAGCTTGGAACCCCTATCTCGATAGGAATGACTACTTCGGTACCAAAGGCCAGATGATAGGGTGTTTCACCTATTTCAATTAATTATAACTTTAGAATGTGCTTTATGCGTTATGTATATTTGCTCTAAGGTAAAGCCGTAGCAGAAGAAGTAAAGTAATGTAAAAATTAATCAAATAGACCAGGTTTGAAACGATACCTGTGGCAGTTCGGCTCGTGGTTCTGTATGCCCAGAGGACGTTGTTGAGCTCGTCCGCCCATTTGGCCTTGTGTTGTTCCAACCTCGGCTTTAAACCTTCTAAGATGCATTTGTTAACAGATTCGACCATGCCATTGGACTCCGGATGGTAAACCGAGGTGAACTGTAATTTGATCCCGTAGTTGGAATAAAAATCTCGAAAAGAGGTGCAGTTAAATTAAGTTCCATTATCAGCCAAAATCTTATTCGGGATCCCATATCTGCAGATGATTGAGCTGAAAACAAAGTCTTCGACCTTCTTGGAAGTAAGACTGGATAATGGCCGAGCTTCAACCTATTTTGTGAAATATACACCGACAATCAGGTGGGTTACACCACCAACCCCTTTCATGAATGGGCCCAAAAGATCCAATCCCCACTGAGCAAATGGCCATGGTGCTACCAGAGTAGTGAGCTCTTCTGCAGGCTGGTGAGTCAAGTGCGCAAAGAACTAGCATTTCAAGCATTTCTGAACAAAGTGAGTGGCATCTTTGTACATGTTCGGCCAGTAATATCCCTGCCTTAAGACTTTGTGAGCCAGAGTTCTAGCACCTACGTGACTTTCACAGACACCTTCATGTACTTCGCGAAGTGCATACTCTGCTTCGTAGGGGCTTAAGCACCGTAGAAGAGGTAGAGAGAAAGATCGCTTATAGAGGACCCCATTAACAAGTGTATACCAAGATGCTTTCCTCCTCAACTTCATTGCCTCCTGCCTGCCCTCAGGTACTATCCCGTCTCGCAAGAAAGAGAGGATTGGGTCAGTCCAGCTCGGAGTGCTTGGGTCTGTGCTGATCTCCATCACCCGTGGCTTCATGAAACTTGATTCATTTAAGACCTCCACAAAAACTGATCTGGAGCTTTGGTTGCCATCCGAAGCAAACTTGGAGAGGGAGTCTGCTCGTTCATTCTCAGCTCGAGGGATTTTGCTTAAATGGAATTTCTAGAATTTGGATTTCAATTCGGCCACCAGAGTTGCATACTTCATCATAACAGGATCAACCACTTCGCAGATTGAATTAACCTGATTGACTACTAGCTGTGAATCACTGTATATTTGTATTGCTTCAACCTTCAATTCTGTCGCTAGCTATAAGCCGAGGAGCAGGGCTTCGTATTCGGCCATATTGTTGGTGGCATCAAAATTAAATTTTAGAGCGTGTTCGCTTCGATACCCCTCTGGGCCAAGTAAGAGTGCACCAGCGCCAGAACCTTTGTTACTTGATGCGTCATCAACATACAAAATCCAACTGTCCACCTCGGACTGGGAATGAGAGTGAGCCGAGGTACATTCTACTATGAAATCAGCGAGAGCCTGAGCTCGGATTGCTGACCTCTGCTGAAATGTGAGCTCGAATTCGCCCAGTTCAACTGCCCATTTGATCAATCTCCCCGAACATTCTGGCTTCTACAAAATTTGTCTGAGCGGCTGGTCCATGAGGACTACGATTGGGTGTGATTGAAAGTACGGTCTCAGTTTCCTGGCCGAAGTGACAACTGCTAAGGCTGCTTTCTCAGCAATGGAATATCTAACTTCAGCTCCATGTAACACACTACTGATGTAGTAGACTGGTTTCTGTTGCTTCCCCTCTTCCCTTATTAGCACAGAACTGATAGCTTCATCCGATATGCCAAGGTACAAGTAAAGGATTTCTCCATCCTCGGCCTTTGTCAGCAAAGGAAGTGAGCTAAGATAAGACTTCAGCTCGTCAAATGCATCTTGGCATTTTGGATTCCATTCAAACTTCTTTTGTTTGCCAGAGTCATCCTTCTGGGTTGCCAATCTGATAATCTTGAAGAACGGCAAGCATTTATCTGCTGATTTCGAAATAAATCTATGCAGAGCTGCTACTCTCCCCGTCAACCTCTGTACATCTTTTATCGACTTTGGTGGCTCCATCTTGGCTACTGCTTTGATCTTCTCAGGGTTGACCTCAATCCCCCTTCTAGATACCATGAAGCCTAGAAATTTTCCTGACTCCACACCGAAGATACACTTTGCTGGGTTTAACCTCATTCTGTTCTTCCTGAGATTGTTGAATGTCTCCTCGAGATTAGCTAAGTGATCCTCAGCTTTCAAACTTTTCACCACTATATCATCAACATAAACCTCCAGATTTCGGCCTATTTGAGATCGAAATACAATGGTAACCATCTTCTGGTAAGTGGCACCTGCGTTCTTCAAGCCGAAGGGCATCATCACATAGCAATAGATGTCATCGCCGGCATAGAACGAGGTTTTGTCTTCATCCGCGGGAGCCATTGGCACCTGGTGATACCCTGAATATGCGTCCAAGAGACTCAATCTCTCATTTCCTGAAGCTGCCTCAACCAGCTTATCAATATTTGGCATTGGATAACAGTCCTTTGGACATGCATCGTTGAGGTTAGTGTAATCAATGCACATCCGCCATTTACCGTTCGCTTTTTTCACCAGCACCAGATTGGCGACCCACTCACAGTAATCTACCCTTCTGATAAAGTCGGCTTGTAGGAGTTTCTCAACTTCTTCTTTAATAACCTTTAACCTCTCCCCCTCGAAAAGGCGTCGCTTCTGGGCTACTGGTTTCTTGAGTGGATTGGTACTGAGTTTATGTTGAGAAACTGAAGTGGGAATTCCCGGCATATCTGCTGAAGTCCATGCAAAAACATCTTTATTGGCCCGAAGAAAAGCTATCAGCTCTGCTTTTTCCTCCGAGTTCAATTTAGTCCCAATTTGCGTTTTCCGGCTCGGATCTCTGTCATCAATCTGTACCTCCTCCACATCTTCGACTAGAGCAGCTCTGGTTTCATCTTCTGGTCGGTTATCTACTATCTCAACACCCATAACTTGCCGATCATCAGGAATCCGTTTGGGATTAATCTCGGGTGTCTGAGCCTTGCCCTTCTGAGGTTGTGTTATCGAGGTGATATAGCAATGTCGGGCCACCTCCTGGTTGCCTCGCAGCGTTGCTATTCCCGTAGGAGTTGGGAACTTCATGCATAGGTGAGATTAGGAAACCACAGCTCGGATTTCAGTCAGTGTGGGTCGGCCAATGACGACGTTGAATGAGGACGCCATATTGACTACCAGAAACCTAATTGAAGGGGTCACATAACTCTAGCCACTTCCAAATGCAACATTCATGGTGAGGACTCCTTCAACTGGGACTGGCTGGTTGTTGAATCCGTAGATGGGACCATCATACCGTTGCAATAGAGCCGGATCCAACCCAAGACTTTCAAAACAATGGAAGTACATGATGTCTAGTGCACTCCCTATGTCAACAAAGACGTGCTGCACCTCACAATTATTGATCATGACAGAAGTGACTAGGGGGTCATTGTGAGGTGTGACGATTGTGTCAAAATCAGCAGATGTGAAAGTAATAGGTTGATTCTTCCAGTCAGCATCATCAAATTTCCATTTCTAGGCGCAGTTTGGATGCTTAACCTCTCTGACGTACAACTTTCTCTGTTTAGAGCTCAGTCCATCGGCTTCCAGGCCTCCTATAATCATGTGTATAATTCTAGCTGGTGGTGGGAGCGGGGGTGGGGCTTGCTGATATCCCACACCTTGCCTGTTTGGCGGGTTACGGACTCCTTGAGGCTATGTCCCTTGTTCCCTGACAAATCGTGGCTGTTCAACTCTCTGGATGTACTCATTCAACATTCCTTTCTGCCCTAGACTTTCCAGCTCGGACCTCAGACTATTGCATGCTCTGTTGTATGACCGTGATCTTGATGAAAATCACAATACCTAGTATGGTCTCTAGTAGCAGCAATAGTTCTCATTGGACCCAGACGTCTTAAGTCCATCTTATTCTTAATCTGCATAAAGATTTGTGACCTCGGTAAATTAAAAGGAGTCCAATTAACTGGAGGTTTACCTGCAAGTTGTTGCGGAGGTGCTGAGTTCGGCCTTCCAAATCTCAGGGTGGAAGTCGACATCGGACCTCGGTTCTGTGTTGTCTTCATCCGTTTCCTGTTTGGATTCTCATCTTTCCAGTCCAGGTGTTGGTTCTTAATAGGAGTTAGGTTCTGCGATAGGGCATATTCCTCAGCAGTTATGAATTTCAACGATCTATCATTTACCTCGCTGAAGGTGTTGGCAGGATGTTTGAGCAGACTATCTCTGAATCTCTCATGGCTAAGACCTGAGATCACAGCTGTAATTCCCACAGCTTGGTTGAAAGAGTTAACCTCCAGCACTGCATCATTGAATCTACTCATAAAATTCTTCAAAGACTCACCGTCCCTCTGCTTAACTCGCATCAGCTCAAAAGTGGTTTTCCTGATCAACCTTCTACTGGAAAACTTTGTGGCAAAAGCAAAGGTCATTTCTGTGTAAGAGTTGATTGACCTCGGAGGTAGACTGTAGTACCAGGTTCGAGCATTACCTCGGAGGGTAAGGGGAAAGATTTTGCACATCAACGCATCAGAGGCGTTCTGGGCCTACATGCAAGAGTAGAAAGCATGTAGATGATCATCGGGGTCCTTCGTCCCATCATAAGTTTCAAGCTGTGGTATTCTGAAGCCAGCGGGATAGGGTTCCAGTGTAATATTGGTGTTGAGAGGGTGGGGTACGGAGTCAGCAGCAGGGTGTGGAGGTGGGACACCTCACTGTTCAACCACTAGCTTTTCTAAGCTATCTAAACATCGAGTGACATCATCATGAGGGGGTTGCTGAGCTGGTGCGACGTGAGATTGGCCCTGAGATTCACTAACAGCGGGAGCATGCTGAACTGGTTCAGGATTTTGTGGTAGGGTTGGGGGTTGTGGAGCAGGATTAAGTAGGTTAATGAGTGGATCACCAGGATTGTTCCGGGCTAACAGCTGAGCCAGCACTAGCTAAAAGACACCAAACTGCTGTTGCATGGCAGCGAGCTGAGTTGCAACTACGTCTTGGTTAGCGGTAGAGGCTGAGTTGCGAGCCGAATTGTGTGGCTGATTTTCATCCCCTCTTTCTGTATGGTCAACATGAGGGAATGTATTCAGGATTGGGGGTGGGGGATGAGGTGGAAAGTTGCTAGGGACCTGACCTCGTCCAAGAGGCTAAGACGAGTTTCCACCTCAGGCTGACCTAGTTTTAACCATGATAAGAGCAACAAGGAAGCCTTTAGTTCAGTTTCCCACAGACGGCGCCAAAATGTAACTGCACCAAACAAAAAGTCCTTCTTCAGTCCGTATCTGCACTCTGAATGGACCTGCAAAGCCCCGAGGTGGATCCTCGGGGTAGATACTCCGATGCTTAAGTCAGCAATAATCAGGGCTACCTTTAGAACGGAGAAACAAAGAGCTTAGGGTTAGTTCCAATTACCTTTTGGCGTGGCCCTTAAGGGGTATTTATATGTTCCGATGAAGAATCCACGTGGCATGCCAAACAAGATGCCAAGCAAGATATCCGGGATCCGATGTGTATCTCCAGGCAGTTATTTCGGGACCGGGAGATTGAGCCAAGCAAGATATTCGGGATTTGATGTGTATCTCCAAGCAGTTATTTCGGGACCGGGAGATTGAGATATATTTAGATGCAAGGATGTCCATCGTAACAGCTGTGTAGCTATTTGAGCGGGAAGTCCTGGATTTACTCCTTACTCCGG